TATATTAACTGCATGCATGCAGAGACTGTATAGACTTGGAGCTCGAAGGGTTTTAGTGACAGGCACAGGGCCATTAGGATGTGTGCCAGCAGAATTGGCGTGTTACAGTAGGAATGGGGAATGTGCAGAGGAATTGCAACTTGCTGCATCTCTTTTCAACCCACAATTGGTTCAGATGATTGATCAACTCAACACAAAAATAGGTCACATTGCCTTCATTGCAGCCAACACCAATCAAATGCACATGGATTTCATCTCAAATCCTCATGCTTTTGGTATATATATTTCTCAACTTTCTATATCTCTTTTCTCTGTTATAGGGAAAATCTGCTCCGGTTGACCTCAACTTATTAGTCAAGTAGAAAGTTCATATAGATGCAACCTTTGAAAAGAAGAAAACTAGTTCACAACCTTCTATTATAATTGCACAAATCACCAAACACGAAGTTTATTCATTTTAATAACTTACTTATCAAGTTATAATTTATAAATAAATAAATATCAAATTTACAATTAACTTATTCTGACAACAACCTTTACTTCGCTACAAAATTCTCTACCTTTGGATTTTACATTTTTTACAGATCCATTTTTTAGCTTATCTCATTCAAATTTTCAAGTCATGTGAATTAATATAAAATTAATAACTTGTAATAGGGTTCACCTTTCGTGGTTAACTTCTTACAATTAATTTTACACATTTTTTTTTTTTTTTTTAACATTGATCTTGATTGATGACAAGATTATAAGAATTTAGTTTTTGTAATTCAATTAGCATCCAGAGAGCGAAGACTAAAATTGACCCATAAGAGAAGTGTAAACAAACATAATTTATTTAGCTTATATTTTGCATTTTTTGCCCTCAATGCGCAGTATTTGATAGGATTCGATGGCAAAAATAATTTTTACCTCTTTATTCTTGAAGACTCTATAGTACTACAAATCGAGTGTTCTCATGATGACTTTGAACTCAAGCCAATGACTTTGAAAAAATATATGGGCATGCAGGATTTACAACATCGAAGATAGCTTGTTGCGGACAAGGACCCTATAATGGCGTAGGCTTTTGCACCACTGCATCAAATTTGTGCCCAAATAGAGATGAATACGTGTTTTGGGACCCTTTCCATCCCTCTGAAAGGGCTAATAGACTCATCGTACAACAAATCTTGACAGGTACAGACACTTATATGCACCCCATGAACCTCAATACCATCATGGCTTTGGATTCAAGGGCATGATTTTTCCCTACAATTAATCAACTTTTCGTAATTGGTTGGATTAAATTTTAGCTCCCAAATGTAACCTAGTTTTATTCGGCTTCTTGATATTGTAATTGTATTCTCCTTTTGTATTTTGATAGCATTGTTAAAATAACATTTCTTTATTTAGTTGTATTTTGATTGTTCGTTCTAGCATTTTTTCCAAGCACGCAAGGTAATTTTATCAATTTAATTGAATAGTTTCTATTTATATCTCGACCTCCAAGAATATGTCCATTCTTTAAAACAATTATTCCATATCTCACAAGGAGAATTGAATAGTTTTATAGGGCTGAACATGATTTGGTTTGGTTCGATTCTAAAAAGAACTGAACCAAACTCGAAGTTTTCGGGTATTTAGTAAGTGAAATCGTTGGGACTAAATTTAATTATGGAACCATTCGAGTTTGATTCCATTCGGTTTTCGGGTTCCGTAATATAATAAATTTTTTAATATTTACAAAGCTATATTAGTTCGACTAATGACATACTCAATTTTAGCTTTTATAAAATAATGTAGTTCAATCTTATATATCTTTTGCATCTCTCTTTGTCGTGTTATTAAATTTTGAGTGAACACAAAAATGGTGTAACAAAAAGTATTATTTTTTATTTAAAATTTTACTTCCTAATTTCTACATTTACCCCTAAAAGGCCCTCTCTGATAAAACTAATACCAACCATTAAATTTTACTCCCTAATTTCTACATTTACCCCCACCCCTCCCACAAATAAATAAATAAATAAATAAAAATAAACACACACACAAACACACACCTTGACACATGGACTCCATCATCTGCACAGCCACTGACCTACTCCCCCTCCTAGGCGGAGCCACCAATGCCACGAAGGCGATAGATTTCATCTGCTGCCGCTTCGAAGCTGTCTCCACCAAACTCACTGAAGCCAACTATGCCATTGAGAATACATATCTCTTATTCTCTGCCTACTTAGTCTTTGCCATGCAACTTGGCTTCACCATGCTGTGTGCTGGCTCTGTATGTGCAAAAAATACCATGAATATAATGCTTACTGATACTATCAAAAATTGCACCTGTAGATTTTTCGAGCTTGATGATTCAGATTGAGCACGATCGTAGTCTTTCGGTACCTGAAACAAAAGCAACGAGGTGTGTGCTCGTCGCCCCTCCGATGCTTAAGTTAGAAAAGAGATTGAAAGATGAATATATGCTGGATATTGTGTGTAGAACGTACCTGAATAATGGACCTGGGTCCTGTATTTATAGTGGTAGGTAGTGCACTCCTAGGAGGATTGAATAAGTTGGACGTTCTTATAGAGTCCTACCTGAGAGAAGTATACTATTTGTAATGTAATTGCACGACCAATGATACTATTGTTGACATAGAGTTCTTGTGGATGTAGGAGTCCTGAGTGGAGATGTTTGAATCACATTGAAATCCTTAGAAGGCAAGACTTATTACGGGCTCGGGTGAATTGGCTGGAGGGATAATGCTCGAGTACTTAACCTCGAGGACTTATGAGCTTAGGAGATAGAGTAGAGTCCTCGGGGTAAATACCCCGATGACCATGAAACCCCGAGGACTATACCTCAGAATTGAATTATAAGATTAAAAGTGTACTCAAGATAAGAGTCATCGAGACATGTCAGTCCTCCAGTATACAACTTAACAATATCACTGGCCCCCGCGCACTCCTCTGTAGAGCTCGTGCTCGATGGAGGGGTGCGCTTGGATGTACACCACGTGTCGCATCTTGAACGGCTCAAGATAGTGATCTTTGGCCTTCCGTATTCCCTTCCTATAAATACCCTCATTTACCTTTCACTTTTTACTTTTACTCACTGTGAAAAACCTCTCTACAAACTTGTGCTCGAGGAAAGTCATCCTAATCTAGGCGTCGGGAATTATTCAGGTAAGGCTTCGAGACTTTAGTTATTTTCCTGGTACTATTTAAGTTATGTCGAGTAGTGAGGGTAGTGGTCATTCTGAGAGTTCGGGGGGGTAATGAGGGTTCAAGAAGGGTGTTAATACCATTAGTTATTCCTATCGACGCTTGACCTAGGTCCCCGAGTGACGTTGACTTGGAGTACCCTGACGAGGTCTGTACCTTGAAGGAGCACCTTGCAATAGCTGCGGCTAGGGAACATGGGTTAATGCCTAACTATGACATTAGATGTCCAGACCCCGAGGATAGGATGGTAAGGGCTCGACAAGGAGAGTTCGTTATTTTTAGGGAGACTCTTAAGGCTGGATTCAGGTGGCCATTGCATCCTTTCTTTACTACATTACTGGTCGAGCACTCCATGTGTCCTGGACAATTAGTGCCCAACGCCTGGAGAATGGTAGTATACTTCTTCATTGCTTGTAGGTATTTAGGCATCGTCCCCTGTGTCGACCTTTGCAAGTTGGTCTTTGAGCTCAAGAAACACCCTAGATATACATGCTTTGGGTATCTCTCGGCCATGGAGGGTTCAGGGTCTCGAGGATGTCTAGTTCTTTGAAGGGGTGGAGGACGGGTTAGTTCTATGTTATAGCTCGAGACCTTGACTTTCCTTTTTGGCCTGAGTGGGGAATCCCCGACGTCGAGAAGTTTTGTGAGGGTGAAGTGTATCCAGACCATTTGGAGCGAGATAGGAGGATGCTGGTGAAGCTGTGCCCTCTGTTCTCGAGCATGAAAGAGATCGGGGAAGAGGTGATAGATCTGGCAGACATAAGAGGCGTCGAGGGTAGGGTTTACCTCTACCATCCATGTTCTTTTGGAATATCTCAAGCTTATGCTCGTTCTAATGTGTTGTTCTTTCTTTTCAGGAATGTCTTTTGATCCTCGAGCATTGCGCAGCGCCCAGCCTCAAGGCCAGCCCCAGGCAAGGAAGAAAAGCAAGAAGAGGCCTCGAGGACCCCAATCTGACCACATGGTGAGGGGTCCTGGTGAAACATCACGACCTCAACCAGAGCCACCGAGCCCAAGGTTCCAGCAAAGCCAGAGGTCTCCAACTCCCAGGGTTACTCCTCGAGCTCCCTCTGAAGTCGTCAATCTCTAGGACGACACTACTCCTATGGTGGCTTTGATTACTGAAGAGTTTGAAAGATTCCACCTGGTCCCGAGCCTGGTCACAAAATACCGGGAGGATGTTGAGCTTAATGAGGGCGTCAAGGCCCTCGAGCTCCTTAGAATGAAGGTTATCCTCGATACTTTTACTTTTCATTCTTTTGTTTGATGTGCGTGATGCTCATGGTTTATTGCTTGCAGGTTTTGAGTGTTGCTCGAGGAGTCATCCAACGAGGTCTTGGGGAGTCTAAGAGAATTGTTGATATCACAGTCCTCGAGAAGTAAAGACATGAGGATTGTTGAGCTCGAGGCTGAGCACGAGGCTTGGCTGAAGGAGCACGAGGATGTCCTTAGGGAAAACAGGAATTTGAGGAACGAGGTTGGGGCTGCGAAGGATGAGGCTGAGGAGGCTAAGCTCGAACTGGTGCCAAAGACCAAGGAGTTCAAGGACAAGATGGCAGAGGTTAAGGAGAGAGCTTGGGAAGAGTTTAAGACGTATGAGGACTACGACCGGATCAAGGGCGAGTACGCATCGAGTGCCTATCTCCATGCTTTTAAGGAGGCTCGAGCTTTTCTTCGAGCAAGGTTGCCCGATGTTATCCCTGAGGACCTGAAGACAGTGCCCTCCATTGCTGATACTCTTGAGCTCTTAGAGTCTGATGATGAGAGAGCAAATGAGGATGACGATGGCATGGAGGGGGGAGAGGCTGAGGATGCAGATGATGAGATCGACATTACAAACCTCGATCCCCCATTGGGGCATATAGGCTAGGCAGATCCCTCCCCGATCCCCGTGCTCTATATTTCTTTTTAAAACACTTTTTTGAAATGCAATCAAGTGTTTTTCTCGAGGTTAACAGTAAATGATAGCTCGATCTTGATCACAATGCTCGAACATTTGTTTTTAGACTTATGTTCTGTGTATATTGCTGTTGTTGTTGTTGTTATTTTTTTTTTTTAGAGCTCGAGAAATATCAGCTTGAGGAATGTCAGAGTTTAACCAAAAATGATCTCGACCATTAAGATAATTAATACCTCGATGATAATAATTCATTGCTAATCTCGACGCCTAAATGAAGTTTTAACCTCGACGCCTAAGATATTATATCTGATGACAAAGTTTATTTATGTCATGCTCGACCAATAGGATTATCTCGAGGACTAAATTTCACAGTCATTTTCGAAATTATACACTAGGCTCGAGCATGGTACATATTTATCTCGAGGACTCAATTTCACAAAATCATTTTTGATGATCATTTTTGAGCTCGAGCATATGAGTTATCTCGAGGACTTAATTTCGTAAAATTTTCTAAGGTAGTAACTCAATCAAGTCATTCTTTAATAGGGGGATTATCTCGAGGACTAATGACAATGTATGGTACTGACCTATAGCATGATTCCCGAGGATAATTATGGCCTTTTTTATAAGATCTGAAATATCATTGATCGGGCACTGTGTGCTCGGGAAGGTTACCTATATCGTTTGCCCTGGTAACAGTTTCTATGTGTTTGCTTGTGGTAAGATTTTTTGCTTGCATGGGGCAAGGCTTTTTTGGTTGCTTGCGCGGGGCAAGACTTTTTGATTGCTTGTGCGGAGCAAGACTTTAGTTGCTTGTGCGGGGCGAGGCTTTTTGATTGCGCTTTAGTTGCTTGCATGGGACAAGGCTTTTTGATTGCTTGTGCGGGGCAAGGCTTTAGTTGCTTGCGTAGGGGCAAGGCTTCTTGATTGCTTGCACGGGGTAAGACTTTAGTTGCTTGCGCTGGGCAAGGCTTTTTGATTGCTAGATCATATTTTGATAAATAGCTTTTTCATACTTTAAAAATAGACTTGGCACGCAGGCCTGATAACTAAAAACGTGAACCTTGGCACGCAGGCCTGACTACCGAAAAATAAGACTTGGCATGCAGGCCTGAAAACTGAAAACGTGAACCTTGACACGCAGGCCTGGCTACCAAAAAATGGAAGAACGGGTTATTTGTAATATACTTTTGGATTCTCGGCATTCCATAGTCTTGGTAGTGGTCTTCTTGATGCATCCCTTAAACTGTATGCACCTCCTTGGAGCTGTCGAATGACTTTGAAGGGCCCTTCCCAAACTGGTCCTA